GATTCGGTGGATAGACATGCACTTTGGGACTGTCTACTCAGGAAAGGTGTACCTGAGAAATATGTGAATATTATCCGAGCATTGTATGCGCGTAGCTCAGGCAGAGTGATGGCTTACGGCAAGCTGTGGTGGCTCTTTAATATCTCCAGCGGTGTGAGACAAGGATGCCCGCTGTCACGTTTCCTCTTCAGCTTCGCTATTGACGAAGTCATGGAAATCGCGTTCACAGGACACGACTTAGAAGCTGTGGATCTGCTCGCAGGAGAGCGACTTCTTGACTTGGAGTATGCTGACGATATTGCCCTAATCTGTGACAGCTCCCAGACTTGCCAAGCGGCAGTGGACAGCTTAGCACTGGCTGTCATTCGCTTTGGGCTTTGCTGGTCACCATCGAAGTGCAAAGCGTTCCTCCAAGATTGGCCTGGACCGCCTCCTTCGCTGACCCTTGGTGAGGATCAGCTGGAAGTTGTTCAAAAATTCAACTACCTGGGAAGTTGTATCAGCGCCCGTGGGATTGTAGATGAGATCACGAACCGTATTGCAAAAGCTCGAGGCGCTTTTGCTAACCTTCGCCACTTATGGCGGTGGCGCGACATCACTCTCGGCTTGAAGGGTTGAGTGTAATGCAGCAGTACGTTCCGACCCTACTAATACGGTTGTGAAACCTGGCCCCTTAGATCAGCGGACATAAAGTGGCTAGTTACGTTCAACCACCGGTACCTTCGCAATTTAGCCCACATCTGGTGTTAACACCGCGTGAGCAACGAGCGTGTTCGACGCCTTGGTTACGGCACAGTAAAAGGGAATGAACCGCTCAGCACCGTTATTTCACGCACCAGGCTCCGATGGTTCGGCCACGTGTTACGCATGCCAGCCCACCTACTCCCGCGACGTGCATTGTTTGCGCGCCGAAGGTGTGGATGGATGAATAGGAGGGTGGCCAAGCGATACCTTGGTCGAGAGGAATGAAGGCCCTCACTTCGAAGCTGGCGTCAGTTGGAACGTCTCGGCTCCCTGGTTGGGGTCCGAAAGACGGTGAACACGTTTGGCTCGATACATTTGTTGATAGTGTTAGGAGCCGACCTCCGTGGCGTTCGTGCTATGAGCTTCTTTGTCCCACCCCATCCCTCTTAGCCTCCCCCTCCAACCACAATCTCATAATTTAGCATTTTATAATTTTGCGTAATAAATTTTTTTGCTGCTGCATAGTAGCTGGCAGATAGCTTACCGGAACGATGCCCATCCGTTACCGGTAGCTCAGCTGGCTTGCACCTTTTGTATTTTATTCCCTTTTTCTTTTAGGTATTGCGGCACAGTAGCTGAGGTGTTTCCCACCTCTAGCTAACGTGTATAGTGTGTGTGTGTGTGTGTGTATGTGTGCTTATCTGTTGCATCGAGCAGAATGGATAGTGTTTTGAATGCTACTGCTCAAGCCTTCCCGTCTTGTTATTCCCCCTCTTCCGCCTTTTCACCTTTATCTTCTCGTTCGAACTTCACTTTTATCCCCTGAGACACAAGTGCTGATATGTTTTCCACTTCTAGTTAACGTGTATAATGTCCTATAGTACTTACACTGTTAGATGCCAAGTTATTAGGATCCCTTACACCCCTACACTATTTTCACTATTTTGTCTGGAAGTTAGCAAGAAAGATAAGATGAAAGCATCAGCAATACTGCAGGTACGCAGTACCGACGCTTCGCTGCCTCGCAACCACCACCGGTTACACGTGGGCTAGGAATAATGCGAGGGCCGCCCTGTCCCATACACAGGCTCGAACCCGCATCGTCAGATTACAAGACAAGCTTGTTACTTTCAGGCTACTGGCCGGAGGAAGTTGGTTAAAGCCAGGAACGTATCAGCATTCCATCGTAGGATGACGCAGTGCTCTATTGCTGGTCGCTCTGTGAGGTTGCATAATTCAAGTCGTGTTTGCTATAGTGAAAATGGCCTATTGATGTAGTTTGTTAGCTGTTCCGCTTTCGTTACTTGATGTAGCATGTGTTCGGAGAAGTTGAAGCTGCTCAAGTACCGTATTCCCAGGTCTCGAACGGAGTACTTGAGTAGGAGCGATGGATCCTTCTGCTATAGAGTCTCTGTGGTATAGTATCTCAGATTTGTCTGCTGAAAGCCTCATTGACCTACTTCCGCTTCGTTTGTTTAGGGATCACAGGTCCTCGCGTATATTATTTGCACATAGCTCCAGATAGTCCGATGGAAATGAGTACACTGTTTTGATGTCGTCCACATATAAAATTTGGCGCTTGTGTAAAAGAGCAAAAGCAATGGACCCAATACAATCCCCTGAACTACACCACTGGTGAAATTTCTGGGATGAGAACAATTTTGACCTGTCTGTACTCTTTGTGTTCGGTTAACCAGGTATAATTCGAACCAGCTCAATAAAAATCTACTAATCTCATGGGATTCAAACGCGGCCAGCAATCGTTTATGCAGTATACAGTCAAACGCTTTGTGCAAATCCAGAAAGATTATGATGGCGATGCCACACTATCTACTGTAACGTGATTATGGAATTGTTGTTGGAGTGTGACACAAGAGCAGTTTGTAGTGACCCCTTGTTGTAGTAATTTTTGTTTTGTCAAATACTGAATAACACGGTTCTTGAGGATTCTTTCTAAGTCCTTAGGGGCGGTGGAAATATGGTTTACTGGCCGATAGTTTGACATCTAATGTCGTGGACCGCCTTTGTGTTTCGGCATAATTATGGAATTTTTCCACTGGGGTAGGAAGCAGTCAGTATTAGATGACGATGTAAAGATGTTCGGCATGAGGGGGGTACGTTTTCGACATCAAGTCAAATAGCTGCACAGGAAAATACCATCAGGTCCCTGTTAGAATGTCGGCTTGATGGATTTTATAGTCATCTGTATATCCTTCGGACTCAGAAAAATGTTACCAAGTACCTCTTCTCATCTTTTTGGCATTAGAGAACATACTGCAGTGTTGAGCGATACAGCAAAGTAGGAATCCAAGATTTACACATTTGGACTATATCGTCCATTGCCTTACTATCATTCAGACGTAAGTATGGAATCTCATTGCATCGTTTTTGATTTCTTATTTTGAGTAATTAGTTAAAGCACGGGTGTTTTTTGTGTTCATGATGGCTCGGTTTTTCGACTCTTCTAAACTGTTGATTATGGTGTGAAAGCGGAAATCGGTAACAGATTGTCATGGTGGCAGTCGAACTGTTCGCTAAGCTTTGTAATTTGGTTGGAGACGTTTCGTCACCAATTGAGGTGACATCATCAGTACGTTGTTGGGTAGCGCGTAGTAAGTAGCACAGCGTATGGAAGCCTCGATGAGAATGCACTCTCATTTTGATGTTCGAACTTCAATATGTTATATATTTGAATTAATGTAGGGATTTCCTCTCTGCCGTGATCTCAATCTTCTTACCTTGAAAATGTGTTTGTATCGGCTGTCGCCATTGGTCTGTGTTTACCTTCAACCTGGTTCCGACAATGTTCGTACATGTGATAATACCTTTTCACGAATTCGTTTGTAGTGACAGCCGAATCAGCCATGGACAAGATTCGATCCCAACATATGATCCTAAGCAGCTTGTCAAATGTCTTCCAATCATTAAGGTGTCGTTGGGGTACTGGCTTCCTTAGTACCACTACTAGCTATGACAGGCAACAACAGCAACCGGTAGACACAAATGCGTTGGCTCGAAATCAGAAGAAAGTGATGAAATCTGAGACTATGTAGACTGCAACTTTAGACTCAATGGCTTCACTGTTGCTCTGTGCCGGACAAGTTTTCCAACCAATGACGTGGCCAATCCCGTGAAACGCATCCAGGAGGACATTGATTAACTTCGATCAACATCCTCACGCTTTGCGCCAGGCTTAACACACAAACATGTCAAAACACGTACACGAGTTGAGAGGTCACTCGGTCGCGCAAACTGCCGGCTTTAGCGATCAAACTACTCGTGGTTGAACGCACACACCGAAACAAAGCGGCGTGCCTTAAGCGACGATACACGTAGAGCACTGATAAGCATCCCTAACTGCCTCGGACGAGATGTTCGCTTGATGAGCGAAGCAAAATGACTGTAACTTTGTTATGCTACAACTTGCACGGATGGTTGCAGCGTAGTTTGGGAGTTCACAGGTTCTTTTTCCGGATGAAACCATAATGTTTCTCGAAAAGCTCCGGTTTAATGTGATTACACGCGTGGAACTCGACGAAGAATATGCCAAAACTGAGAATTGGAGCAAGAGTATAATCCACACAGGTTAGATCCAAAAGATGGGAAGCACTGAGTAGAACTCGTCGAACTGGTTCGACCAAGCGCACGCACAAAATTGTGTGGGAAGAATTAGAGTGGCCACAGAGAGCAAAGCGAGAGCCGAGTTAAAGTGCAGCCGTACAGCGTGATACAATGCAGACAGTGGTTGCAGACCCTGTGGTACCACTTTGCGCGCTCCGGAAACCAAACGGCTTACGTAGGGCGGGTCTATGTCTCGCATGCCTGCAGATTGCCTGGTTGTTGTGCTGAATGGGGGAGTGTCAAGTTTCTTACTTTCAAACCCTACTGAACGGTTCAGTTGATATGCCATTTTATAATCCGTTAGAATGACAATCCTTCGCGTGCGCACAGATGTCCGGTAAGGTCACTGGTCAATGGTTATGACGTGGGTATCACATCATAGTGCATTTGTCCATGTACAAGTGATCAGCAGTGCAGTCCTATCAGGTACAAATATTGTGATATTCGGTACTCCCACTGACCTTTGGCTTCACACAATGTGTCCTTTCTGCACCCTTGTTCTGGGCGGACTAAGTGGTGTCCATTCTACTCTACGCTTCTTTACGCCCTCACTTTCACTTCGTAATATTCAGCTTTCAACTTTCATTATCCTCAACAGTTGTTGTAATTACTTCGGTTTCACTCGATTTTGACTTGATACACGTTGCCACATAGACATAATCATCAATTACTAAAATTTTCATTCATCTTTTTAGGGTATACTTTCAGGCTTCGCGACCGAGGAACACGTCTCCGATGCCAAAGTACGTCCAGTTTGTTGTTGTGTTGCTCGTTCGATTTCTACGTTAAAGTATTATCCCTGCGCCTCTCTGATCTAAACGCTTAACAATCAGCAGGGTTTTTCGAACAGTTTTCCATATTGAATGTTGGGTGGTTTTGCTGGACATTGTCTAATTGAAGAGCACCCGGATTCATCAAATGTGCGCCTGTAGCCTTCTGGTGTTGGGTAAAAGCACCTGTGTCATAGCATTGTTTGTGGTTGTTTTCTAGTGATGTCACTAGTTGTAGATGAGTGAATTACTCCCTTTGTGATCTCACTGTATCGTACATGCGCTGATGTAACCCATGCAGACCACTGTAGATCACACGATACGATTCAAGCATTGTGAATCAGCGATGCTTTCTCAGTGTATCGTTTTTTAGTCTGCTAGGTGAACTACTCTGATTAACTAGTCAGGTTTTGGAAGCTTGTGCAAGCATCCAACAACCACGTCTTTTTTCACAATGCAAGTTGAGCGAGTGGGTTTTTCTCGTTTCTTGGAAATCACCAAACACTGAGGATCGCTGGCGACTTATTCAATCAGGGCTGAACAACTCCTTTTTTTGTTTCTGCTTTTTAAACAATGAAACCACAAAGGGTCCTTACCCTCGGGATACATACATTTCTCCGTTATCCTTTTCTCTATCTCAGATCTTTTTTGAACAACACCCGGTCTCCTTCCCACGTGCTTTGAAACAAGCCGAAGAAACTATGGACACTAATTTGTTGCTTTTACCACGCGACGCTCCCTTGCTTTTGCGGACCCTCACGAAACTGGCTTCTAACTGATGTGTTCGCATCACCTTAAAATATACCGTGTGTCACTTGTCAGTTGGAACCATGCTTTTACTACCATGAATTGACACGTTTCATCAGATCATTTTGCTTAGGACCGCTCCCCCCTACCACCATTTCTAGCAGGACGCACGACGCGACAAGTTTATGGGTAATTTTGCTGGTGGCAGTGCCTCTTTCTTCATATAGGTTACATTCATGTGATAACAATTAACCAGCGCCACTGATCTACGCTCATTCACACAATTCCAGGTTTAGATTTTCTTCCGCCTTGCTTTCTTTATTTATCTAACTTCGGAGACGCGGTTAGACAATCGACTTTTTTTACCACTGTTTCACTGCTCGTGTGTTGTGCGATCACTTTGACCTGCGAGAATCTGCTCAGACTTACGTTCAACTGGTTAACGCTTGTGTTCACATGCGTGCCAAGTTTGGTAGTTAGGTTGTAAGTCTTTCATCACCAGAGGGGGTAACATTATCAATGCGTAGCAGGTGGTGCTCTTCATGAATGTACAAGTCCTTATTTATATTTCAGGTGTTTGTTATCACGTCATTTCTGATTGCTTGTTCATTTGAGCTGTCCCGTAGGCTTAAATACTTACGGTTAGCCGTGGAATAGAATGAATGGTCGCAACTATCTTGGTGCAATTGGCTAATGTTCCCAACTGTCCCGTTTGGTGTTGTTCCTTTGACCATACGTAATGACTTTCGAGTCGGTTTATTTCCCTGTCTTGGTGTTCGGTCTACAGGATCGATACTGATGCGCTTGTGTATGGAATCCTCTATGCAGTACCATGCCTCGTCCATATGCGTGGAAACCAAAGCGAAAGCGTAATGCTTTCTGTGAACTCTTTTGGGCCCCTGCATTCTTGTTTGCAGCTACCTCCCCTGTATGGCCTACACATTTCTTGTCGCAATTTTAACATTGTATCATGCACACAACTTCCGTCATTCATGGGATTCCGGTGCACCTGATTTTGATAACATTTCTCATGGTAGCAGCTGGTTTGTTAGCCACTGTAAGGCTGCGTTGTTTAAGCATCCAGACAGTCATCTCAGACATGTTTTTTATATGGACCAAAACGACCCGTTCCGTTGTCGCTCATGTGGGTTTAGGTGGTTATGGTCCCGTGGTTCAGTCAATTCCGGACAATGCTGCGTGGATATCCGTTTAGTAAGATGGCCTTGGTATGTACTTCTATCCCGCTTGCTTTCACAGTGCTGCATTGTGTCTCTGTTCTGCGGAGGATACTTCATCCAAAGCTTATTACACTGGACGGCTGCTGTGTCAGTGCAGTATCTGGTCCGTATATCTTCCCTTCTTGTTTACTAAGGTTTTCAGTCCTCCGTTCTGCTGACTGGCACTTCCAGGATATGACGGATCAAAGCAGCTGCATCGCCTGTGTGTTCTCGACAATGCGAGGCACACCTTTACAGGCCTGATCATGTTAGGCTAACAATGATCAAAAATGTACAAAAATACCTGTTTGGCATAACAGTGAATGTGTGTGTATCAGTGTATATGCGTGTGACGACCGTGAAGCAGATCCCAGTCTGTCTCTGCAATCGCCTTCCCGAGCTGGATCTACTCTCCACTGCCTTATGGTTCAGGTTATTGAGTCAAATGCTCCGGCGGAGTCCCTCAAGCAAACCTCCGATGCACAACCGCCACCTCGCGTGCGATTACCCACCAATGCAATGGTATGCCTGCGCGCATCGGCTGCCGGAACTTGCGCACACTACTGGACCAGAACTCGAATGAACGCCCCGAGCGACGCATTGAACTGGTTTCGATGGAACTGGCGCGCTACAACATCGATATTGCGGTGCTCAGTGAGACTCGGCTCGCTAAGCAAGGTAAGTTGCATGAAGCAGGTGCTGGTTACACATTCTACTGGGTGGGCAACGTCGCCTCGGCACCACGTGAACATGGGGTGGGATTTGCAATATCCGATCGTCTGAATCACCAGCTCGTGGGTGAATCAACTGGCATCAGCGCGCGACTGATGACTGTTCGCCTAGGACTCGGAAGGGGTAAGTTTGCCACTTTTATAAGCACGTATGGTTCGACCATGTGTTATCCTGATGACCTGCGTGATTACTTCTACACTCAGCTATCCTCCGTGATACGGTCTGTGCCGAGGAGCGACCGACTAGTTCTGCTGGGTGATTTCAACGTGCGCGTTGGGCATGATGCATCGGTGTGGACAGATGTTATCGATCCGCATGGCATTGGTTCAGTGAATGCGAACGGTGACAGGCTGCTCTCACTGTGTCACGCACAGCCTGACGATCACGAACACTTGGTTTGCACTGAGTGCGAGTGATATAGCAACTAGGACGCACCCACGGAATGGTAACGCTCACCTGCTCGACTATGTCATCGTACGTCAGCGTGAAGTACGCATGACACGTGTACAGCGTTGAGCTGAGTGTGGCAATGATCACAAATTGGTGCGGGCCAGACTGTACAGATATTTTCGTAAATCTATGTATTGCACTCCCGCCGTGAATCGGCGTAAATTTAACATTCTCTCCCTCGGTACTCTGGCGAAACGTATTGAGCTAGAGAAGGTGAGAGCTGCACGCCTGTGTGGTGTGTAGTACATAACCACAATGGGCGACCTGTGGCACCACATTAGCGACCAGGTGACAGCTGCTGCCGAGGAGACTATCGGGCGTGCAAACTGTAAGCGACCTGATGAAAACAATGCAACCATTAGCGCATTGGTGTCGGAGAAGAATGCAGCATTTGCTGCACATGCTGCAGATCCCAGTGACCTGGGGAAGAAGAGTCAATTTCGCAAACTTCGACTGCGACTGACCCGAGAGCTCCGTCCCATTCAAAATGCATGGTGGACGGAGAAGACGAGGCAAATGGAATGCTGCGCCGAACGCCGCCAACGCAAGGAATTATTTAACTCCTTGAAGGCGGTGCGTGGACCGAGACTGGAGGCGCTGAGGACGCTGATCGATGGTAGTTCAGACGCTACCTGCACACAGACTGCAGGCATAATGTAGATCCGACAAAACCCTTTGACTATCTCTTGACCAACCGTTCAGAGCTCGATTGGCCTACTTTGAACGGCCTCAAGCAGCATGATGGGAAGGCGAGACTGCCAGACGCGCCGACACTGGATGAGACGCAGAGAGCATTTGCTCAGCTGCGAAACGGCAAGTGTGCCGGGGGCGACGGAATCCCGCCTGAAGTATTGGAACACGACGGACTCGCGTTGGTGACTGCGCTGCACTACTTGGTACAACGCGTGTGGCTTGAGGTGGAGGTGCCTCCTGAACTGGAGGATGCCCTTGTGCTACTACTGTACAAGGGCAAAGGAAGCAAGCAATGTTGTGCGAATTATCGTGGCATCAACTTGCTGAGTTGTGTGGGCAAGGTGATTGCCCGAATCCTGCTCATATATATATATATATATATATATATATATAAACAATCTTTGGTACAGATATTGTGCCATCGGAATCATGGCTGCATAGGAAAACAGTATGAATAATAGGAAAAGAGCAACAATAACAAAAGCACTTTTTAACCAGTTTACTACTCACAGTTTTTGAAATATTTTTTCAGTTTGTTCCTTTTTAGGGGGAGGAAGAAGGGGCACCGCAACACACCGATGCACACGTCCGCCATTGACATTGATCTTGAGCCATGGCTTCCAAGGTCTTCAACCCTCAAGTATCCGCATCTCTAGGACCCCAACCAGGTAGTCGACAACAACCGGCCGAGACCAACTGTTTCGTCAACTTTTTCATGCGACTTCTCCATGTTGTAGGCTGTCCACCAGACCGTCTCTTCCAGCCCTGTCCAGCAACAGCAAACAACGCACGACGGGGGTAACGCTGGACAGGCATGCGCAATACGTGTCCCAACCACCGCAGTTGATGGAGTGAGACGAGCTCTTTGAGCGAGTGGCTTCCACGTCCCAAGACACGCTGTCTAACTTCCACATTGCTTATGTGGTGCTGCCACCACACACGGACAATGGACCGCAGACAGTGGTGCTCGAAGACGGATAGCCTACGCAAGTCCTCTTTACAAATTGGCCAGGTCTCGCATCCGTACACGAGTACAGTACGAACAGTTGCACAATAGACCCGCCCTTTGAAGGAGAGACGAATGTCCTTGCGACGCCACAAGCGCCTCAGCCTAGAAAAAGCGAGGCCTGCTCTCGAGATGCTCATCGAAATCTCTTCTCCAACAGCCCAGCCAGCAGTGATGCAACTTCACCAGTAGACAAAGCTCTCCAGTGTCACCACCAAGGGTGAGTGCAGGCAAAGGCACCTGCCAGTCTTGGAAGAGAGCCTTGCATTTGGATGTTGAAATGTACACATCGTACTTTGATGCTCCACTCGCCAAGCGCTTTAGTGTAAGTTGGACGACGTTCGGATCGTCACTCAGCAAGACGATATCATCAGCATAATCCAAATCAACAACTCGACTACTTGGGAGGAGCTCAACGCCAGCGTTCAACGAATCGCTCAGAGCGTTCTTCAGGACATCCTCAGTGGCAAAGTTTTATAGGGACGGAGAGATAGGGCATCCTTGTCGAACTCCACTGGAGACCACAAATGTAGGCGAAAGCTTGGCATAATCCCTAACCCTGCATGAGATCAGACTATATAGAGCGCGTAGTATGGAGACGAACTTCTCCGGGACACCATCCCTCAGTAGGCAGTGCCACAGTACCGTACGATCGACAGAATCGAAGGCTGCACGGATATCCAGAAACACAGCAATCGTTGGCCTCTGATACACATGGCGGAGTGTGAAGGTTTGATCGATGCAGCCACGACCAGGGCGAAACCCAGCTTGTTCTTCTCGTTGCAATGATTCGCGCGTTGGGGATAGCCTACGAAGTATGATGGACACTAGCAGCTTGCAAACGACGGAGACTAAGTTTATGCCTCTGTAGTTGGAGCAGATTGTGCGCAGGCCCTTTTTGAAGATAATGATGACTATGGATTCACTCCAAGATAATGGAACTTTCTCTCTCGACCAAAGTTTCGAGAACAGAGTGGTGAGCTCTCGAACCAGCGAATCGCCACCATCTTTAAAT